TGGAAACCAACCCACCTTGGAATGCGGATCTGCTCAAGCTCGGAATAGCTGCGCAAAAAATCTTGCCATCTTTGATCCATTTCTGTGGGGATGTTTTCATCCCAGCCCAACTCCTGCAACCAAATTTCTTGCATAAAGATTTTTGAGCGGACAATAAACGGAGACAGCCATCCGGCTGGGTCAAAAAGCTTCGCAATTTGGGAAAGAACCTCTCTCTTCGTATGAGTGGATTTAATCGACACTGGCGGTGGAACAAAACAGAACTCGTCCGAGGTCGCATTCCACCGAACGCCCAGTGTTTTGGCAAAGCTTTCGGAATGAAGATCGCGAAAGTCCTCGTGGAGTAGATGCTCGTTTGGGATGTCTTCGAGTATGCTCTTCTGGTTGGCCGTCCACTTTCTCAATGGGAACCTTGCGCTGCTGAAAGCGTGGCGAAGTTCGCTGATTGCCAGTCGAGCCTCTTGTATGGAAGTGGTCCCTGCCAGAACGTCGTCTACGTACATAAAGTGACGAATAATGTTGCTTGCTGTAGGGAAGTCCTTTTCTACGTCGTCTGCCAATTGTTGGAGTACGCGGAGTGCCAGAAATGGTGCACAGTTCACACCAAAGGTGACTGTTTTTAACTCGAAATCGCTTACTTCTCCTTCTTTATTCCGGAATAAGATTCTTTGGAACGGCGTATGTTTGGGGTCGACCCAGATTTGACGGTACATCTTGGTGATATCTGCGCTGAACACGTACTGGAAATAACGCCACTTCAATATCTGAATGGTTAAATCAGATTGTAGGACTGGACCAGCATGAAGAATGTCGTTCAAGCTTGTCCCATTGGATGAAGGGCTAGAAGCATTGAATACCACGCGAAGTTTGGTGGTAGTGCTCTCGGGTTTGATTACCGCGTGGTGTGGCAGGTAATAGTTTGGAGAATCGTACGACGGGGGAATTTCTCTCATATGACCCAGATCCAAATACTCTTGAATGACTGAGTCATATTGCTCTTTTAATGGAAAGTCTCTCTTCAAACGGTTCTCGTTTCTAAGAAACTGAGCTAGGGCACTGGCTCGCGAGTGCCCCAATTGGGACCCGAGATTTTCAGGCTCACGAAATGGTAAAGATACTACGTATCTCCCGCTTGCGTCTCTAGTGGTCGTTTGGAGAAAATTGTTTTCGCAATAGGAATCGGAGTCCTTTACCCTTTTAGTGGGTATATTCTCCACCTCCCAAAACTTAGTGAGAAGTTTTTCTAAGACTCCGTCACTCGTTTCGGTTATCTGGGTCGTGAAAGCGGATACCCGATGCTGACTAGATGTACTTGAAACTGGGCCGGTAAGCACCCAGCCAAAAATAGTTTCTTGACCTAGGAGAGAGCCACAAATGTTTGTGCGCATGCCGCTCAGCAGAACGGATGGTAACATGTCGGCTCCGATCAGAACATCTATCTGGGAGCTCTCAAGGAATGTAGGATCTGCCAGGGGGATAGCAGGTAAATCACTCAGCGCATCTCGTGGGATTGGATAGGACGGTAGCGTTCCGGCCAATTCAGGCAGAACGTAAGCTGCGGTTTCTAGCTGAAGGCCTGGCTTATTAGGAGCTCGAATCGAAAAATGGCAGAGCCTGGTCGCCTGAGCGGAAATGGTCTTATTTAAGCCCGAAACTTGGGCTTGGATGAGGCGGAATGGCAGCTTAATTAAATTGAACAGGCGTTCCGTAATAAACGTAGCCTCAGAACCCGAGTCTATTAGAGCGCGAGCCCTGTAGTTCGTACCCAAGTGGCAAATGTCAATGATGGCCGTACCTAGTAAAACCGCTCTGGCACCGGTTGCGAAATAATTCTGCACACCGGGCAGATTTTCTGAAGCGTTGGCGGCCCTCCGTACAGTTGGATTTTGTGGGCTTGCAGCAGAAATATTTCCCGTAGTTGACCCACTGGAATTGGGGTTGCCTTTATGGAGCAACGTATGGTGCCGAGGTCGACATGTGAAACAGCTGTGAGTGCTCGTCCATTCACGTAGCTGATGGCCTCTCGCGACACAATTTAGGCACAGCTGTTTCTTCTTGATGTAGTTGGTCCGCGCATCGACAGACATCTGGAGAAAACGCTGGCATAAGCGGACTGGATGATTCTCCTTTGAGCACAGATCGCAATTCTTCGGTTTGGAAACCACTTTAGCTTCGAAGGAGTTGAGCCTCCTGGAGACGGGTTGACTCTTAGTGGTAGAGTGATTGCTGTGACTTGGTTTCATGTCCTCAATCGCCTCTAGCGTTCGGTATCGGTCACCAAGAAACGTGTTCATCTCATCCCAAGTCGGAATGTCGGACTTCGATGAAAGGGACTGCTCCCATAAGGAGAGAGTCAGTTTCGGTAATCTACTGGCGCACAGGAATACTAGGAGACAGTCCCAATTCTCTGTGGAAATTTTGGAATGAGCCAGAGCGACCAAACACCCTTGGATTGTGCTCTGAAGATCTTTCAGAGCCTGGCCTGATTCGGAACTCACGGACGCCAAGTTAAACAGGAGTTTGAGTTGGCTGTTTACTAGCAGTCTTTTATTTTCGAAACGGTCTCGAAGCGCTGCCCATGCTGAGTCGAAACCCTCATTTGTGAGAGGGGACTTGGCTACGATTGCCTTAGCCTCGCCGCTAGTTTTAGCATTGAGATGGAAAAGCTTTTCGACCGGTGTCAACCTAGGATTGTTGACATAAACTGCTGTGAAAAGATCCCTAAATGTTGGCCATTTTAGGTAATCTCCTTCGAATACTTCTGTATCGCATGGTGGTAACCGGCACCCAGACGAAATGTAAGCGGACTGATTAGTGGTGCTCGCTGTCGACTGCTGCGGAGTGGCTTGGTCCATCAGCTCGCTGAGATGAACTGATAGCTCCTCGTACACCGAATAGCAATATTCATACTTTCGATGCAGAGTCGCCAGAATCTCCTCCGCTCCTTCAGTCGTAATGCTGGAAATCGTGTCTAAACACGCTTCGAATTCTTTTTCGGCCTTTTCCCAGAGTGAGCGGACTTGTTCCTTACGGACTTTGCAGGTGTGGACGGACGGAGCTGACGGCCCTGGAGTTTCTATGGTCGCTCTGAAATTGCTCATGCGGTCGGACACCGTTATGAACCGCGCGAGGGCTGCAATTGCAATGTCGTTGCTCATTTTTGCCTGAGAACGAGTTGCCAGCGACTTTACGGACTTGGTCTGGATCTGTGACCTAACCTTAGGCGTGAGCGACAATCGTTTCGGATTGCTCGTAGGAACAGACAACTTCTTTTCGCCCTCTTGGGTGTCTAATGAAGTTTCGCTCTTTGCCTTGGTTATTGATGTCGGACCTACTGCGCTTGAGGTGCGCGCGCGAGGAGAAGCGGATAGCGATCGCGTTTTATTTGCAGACGGAACCGATAACTTCGTTTTGTCTTCTGGCATTCCCGAAATCAGATTAACTAGGCAACCCTAGCTGGCTTTGTGGTAATTTGACACTCCGGAAAAGTCTGTACTGGAATGTGGTTCCGCTGTTGCGGATCACCGGGGTGTATTTGAAAGGAAACGGAAGGATGGAATCGATAACTTCCGATCAATACAGGTGCGGCTCCAAATATCGAAAATTCTAATAGCGGAATGTCAACAATGTCAATGTATGCGACGCGACAAAAACGTATGGAATTAATTTGATTTTGATTCAAGAAAACAAACAAAAAAAATTAATAAAGCGCAGTGGCTGCTTCGATTCCTCGTGATAGACAATTGCAAGCGGTCCGCTTGTGTTCGTTCTTAGCGTTGCAGCTCCGGTCTATATTTGGAATATGTGGAAACGGAACAGTTGTACCAATTAAAAGTTTTGTTTTTGGAACCACTGCTTTGATGTGCGAGCAAAATATCAAAAAATTCGACCAAAAAATGTTTTGCAAAATATTTGCAGTTGGTTGCTGAGCTGCGGAAATGATCGCAAGGAATATGGAAATAAATACGATTCGCACCGCCACGGCTTACACAAAAAGGATTTATTTATTTATTATTTATTTAATGGATGTGTGCCGACGGCGTGTGCGAAATAGCGCTGCTGAAATAAATATCATGCAAAAGTTGGAACGGCTTATAGTGTTGATGTGGAATCAGGAAATTTTTCCCATATGTATAATATAATAAATTGTGTTCGGTGGACTCAGGATATTTTTCCAATATGTATAATATAATAAATTATGTTCGGTGGAATCGGGTTATTTTGCAATATATATAATATATAATAAATTGTTTTTTATTATATTTTATATTTTATTTATAAATTATAAATGATATTGGCTATGTTGTAAATGTCGCTTTTGAAATATTTGTTGGGTGTACCGCCTTACGTTCCGGGCATATGTACGTACGTACATTAATAAGCATGCATTTGGGATATATGATTGTATGTATGGATATGTGTGTATGTATGGATATGTGTGTTTGGATTGATATGTGTCACTATAATTATTTGGGCTTTGACATACATATGTGCGTGTACATATGTATATATACTTGGATGTCAAAAGCACTTGGAATGAAACACAGTGGGCAACGAAAATATGCTTGCCCCAGCTCACGCACAACACTCTTTTATTTATATTATTGCTCTTTGATTTTAATGCTGGACGCATGCAATGCACATATGCAGAGCTTTCGTTCCTTGCTTGCTGCTTATGTAAATGCACTTGGAATACACACACTGGAAAATATATTTTCCCACACAATAATTTTTATTTCGGATTTATTTTTTATTTCTCTTTGCACTTTTTGCTGTAATTTTGGAAATTGTATATAATGTGGACTGTATTGTAAATGTCGTTCTCGAAATGTTAGCTGGATATACCGCGAATGTAGTGTGTAAATGTTTCTCCTTACGTATGTACATACATATGTTGAGATGGTCAGGCATATGTACGTACATCAATATGCATGCATCTGGATTTTATGTGTTTATGTATGTATGTAAATTGGGAAATATAAGGAGAGCAAAGCCGGAAAATGGCAATACGAAAAAAGAAGCCGGAATATGGCGATCGTATAAAGGTGGAAATAGCAATACGAAAAAAGAAGCCGGAATATGGCGATCGTATAAAGGTGGAAATAGCAATACGAAAAAAGAAGCCGGAATATGGCGATCGTATAAAGGTGGAAATAGCAATACGAAAAAGAAGCCGGAATATGGCGATCGTATGCACAAATGGAATTAGCCGATCAGACAGATATAAGAAAATTGGGATCTTGGGAAATATCTGACTGGTCGGCCACGGAAATATGGAAAATTCGTACTTATCTTGAACTTTAAAGAACTCCGCCGGTGGTCGCTGGTATTTGTCGAAAATCCGGTCGATGGATCAAATGTTGGGGTGAAATACGGCGGCGGTTCTTCCTTCCTTCTCAATTTTGGGTTTGGGGTAGAATTAAGAACGCGGGCAAATTTTCTTTTAAACGTTATAAAAATTCACTTTATTGTCCGACTTCACTCTCACACTTGGAAATTAGAACTAACTTAAACTACGGGGTGGAAACTTTTTGAGCCGCTCCGAGAGCGGATTGGAGACCCTTAACAGAGCCAGAGAGCGAGATGCAAGTGATCTGGAAGAACTGCTCTCACGACTGTTAAGACTCCAGGGGCGGTTCAAAAAGGACTGGAAAGCGCCGCTCTGGCGCGAACAATAGGCAAGAGAGTAGGCTTATAGGTCTATACGACGCGGGGATAGTGTGGTCTTTCCCCGGCTTTGCTATCATTATTATAATTGACTTTTTTCATCTCACTGGAAAGTGGCCAAGTTTTGCGATGGCATTAAATAGCTGGGTGAGAGTGCAAACGGCGCAGTATGGGAGCTCAATGATCATTTTGGGAGTTATGAGGTCGCAGCCCGGGGATTTTTTCGGATTCAGTTGTCTTTTGATGATGTTAACGATTTCGTTTGGGCGAAACTCGATTGGCTCATGTTGAGGCTGGGGTTCATATGATAGAGTCGGCAAAGTAAACGCATTGGTGGCAGGATTTGGTTGGAAGACATTTTTAAGGTGTTTGGCAAACGTGCTGGCTCTGTCTGCGTCGCTGCGCGCCCACCCGCCTGTGGAATTTCTAATTGGCATCACGGTTTCTTTCGGTGAGCTCATAGTTGGGTGAGCTCTCCATAGTGAGTGTTTTGTACTGTTAGTTGACAATTGCTCTATGTAGCGGTGGTGGACATACGTTTCTTCTTGCAGTAGAGCTTGATCAAGTTGACGTGAAGCATGTTTTAAGCGTTGCTTAGCAGATGGCGATCTGTGACATTGCCATTCTCGGCGTAAGCGTCGCTTTTCGAGGACGAGCTGTTCGATTTGTAGATTTGTCTTCTTTTGAATGTATTGTGCGTTTGTAGTTTGAGGTGTTGAAACTCGAGTTGCAGAGACGAGTACAGACTCCAGTGACTTAACAAAACTGTCTACGTTGGCTTCGTCGCTGAGGTGAGGACTCAGCTCAATGTGTGAGCTGATATACTTCCTGTACTTAACCCAATTGGTTTTATGTGAGGTCAGTTTTGATGAGTGATCCCATGTTCCTGGGTGTCGGAGTAGAGTAAAGAGGACAGGCGAGTGGTCAGATGAAAGATCCGAAAGGCATTCGGCGCTTATCATATTTTTAGGAATGTTTTTGGTAATCGCAAAGTCTATTAAATCGGGAAGTTTTTTTGGGTCTGCCGGCCAGTATGTTGGAGTGCCAGAAGAAACATAGTCTAGCTTGTTCTTAGCTTTGATAATTGCATTATAGAGCTGCTTTCCTTTTGGGGTCACGAGACGAGATCCCCAGTGTGTGTGCTTGGCATTGTAGTCTCCTGCTGCTATGAAGTGGTCTCCGAGTGAGTTGAAAAACTGCATAAACTCATCTTCGGCTATGGTGAAGCGTGGGGGGGCAGTGTACGGCGGCTAGAGTTAGTTGCTTGCCAGTATTTAGGTGTATATTTATTGATGTGGCCTGTATGTAGTTTTTAGCAAATTTCGTATGGTAATGGTGCTTAATACGGCTTCTGATTAAAATTCCAGTCCCGCCGTGTGCTTTACCATCTGGATGATTTGTTCAATAGAATGTAAATCCTCGTAGTTGGAAATTGTATTTGTTTGTAAGATGTGTTTCTGAAAGCAGCATTACGTCGATTTGATTGTCTAGAGGGAATTGCGCCAACTCGAGTTTATGCTGCGAAACGCCGTTAGCGTTCCACGTAGATATTCGTAGGGAAGTCATTATTTGGATTGTTGTGAAACCAGCATTTGTATAAGTAGATTTTGGTTTCGCATTAGATCTTGCATAGTTGTACGCATAAACGACATAAACTCCGTAAGGCTTTGTTGTAGACTGCATATCAAAGATTCAAAGTTACTTTTTGGCTGCTCCGGCGGTTGATGCTGCTGAGCCGTGTTCGGTTCTTGATGTGTTGATTACGGCAGTGAGATTGTTGGGGCTGGGGTAGCCAGTCCTGATTTTAAAGCGCTTGCGTATGTGACATTTTTGGCAGAGTTTATGGGTCCTAGTGAGGATCTGGCTGCAGTCGAGAAGAAGACTTCAGGGTTTGACCTGGAGGCTATGAACTGATTATTTTGGGTGCGGGCAGTAGATCCCCTCTGGTGGATGCGACTTTTCAGCTCCTCATAAACTGGGTAACCTCTATAGTTAGCAGTGTGATTTCCACCGCAGTTGCCGCACTTTTTCGAGTTCTGGTCATCTTTACTGGATGGGCAGTGTGCGGAGTCATGAAGCTCACCACAAACTACACACACCGGGCGCAGTTTACAGTAAGACCTTGTATGGCCATATTCTTGGCAGTTCGCACATTGTACCGGGCCATTGCGTTTGTGCGGCTCCACAACTGTAATTCTGCGGTGCAGCAGGAACTGAAGATTGTATATAGGGTGTACTTCGTATTTCTTTAGGGGCTTAATTTGTGGCTCGAGCTCAACCTTAAAGAGTGGCTGTGGCTTTCTATCCCTGTTAAGGATATTGAAGACTGTCTTGGCGCTAAATCCCTTCTCTTGTAGCGCCTTTGTTATCTCTGCAGGCGATACTTCGGCCTCTATGCCCTTAAGTACGACTTGCAGGCCCTGGCTGCTTTTTAGCTGATACGTGTAAAAGTTCTTTTTTTTTGTAGGTGAGGTATTTCGATAATACTCTGTAATTATCTTCAGACTTCGTTTGAACTTTTGTTTCCTGGATATTGCCCTTTACGAGTGGTATTATGTGGAAGTTGTCCTTGCCAATAAGCTCTATAACTTTGTTGACAAGAACGTTGGAACTTTTTTTTTCGTATGTAAATTGGCGGGGGCTTAGGCTTCCTTTTTTCGACTTCTGCTATGTTAGCATTGCCACGGGTTATTTTCCGTTGAGAGTTAAGGGGGCTCAGCTTCCTTTTGATTTGGATGTACCGATCCATACCAGTCTGCACAGCCGGCTTAATATTTTCCTTGTTATTGTTCTCTATTTCGGGCAGCGCAGCGGCAGAAGTATTAATGTTTGCGCTGCTAACTGATGACGTCGTTAAACGCGCTGTCGTTACAGTTGCTGTTGTTGTTGTTGTTACGGTTGACGTTGTCAAAGAAATTGCGGTGCTAGTTACTGCGCTCTTTGGCTGCAGAGACATCGATGGTAGCGATGGGGAGCAAGATCGCGCTCTTTCGCTCTCTACGTTTAAGAATTCGGTCAAGTTTGGGGTAATTGACCGTGTTTGTGTTGAGCTTGCATTACTTTCGGTTGCTTTGAAAGTGAAGTAAGCGTTGTTTCTTTGTACTGAGAGCCGTCTCTCGTCTTGCTCACGTTGACGTTGTGTGCGAACGTCGTTTAGACTCATTGCAATCGAGGTTGAGATTGTTCGAGTTTTAAGTGTTATGTTTTATATTAATTAATTAATAAATCAATATAAACATTAGCGATAAAAGCGTCTTTTCGCGTTGTTGTTGATTTTCGAAACCAGTCACTGCACTTTTTGATATTATTGAATACTTTTTTTCCCGGAGCACAATAAATACACGTCTGCATGCGACGACGATTCGATTCTTTTTTTTGCTTTTTTGTTTAAAAATTAAAAAAAAAAAAAAATTTAAGATACAAAAAAAAATTGACTTTATGCCAAAAAAAAACGCGAAAAAAAACCATAGTGTGTTGGACCAAATTCGTTGCCAAAATATTCCAAGCGACAGATGCCGTGAATTGGTCGCACGTTCGATCCGAGCAAAATGCTGCCGACTTAGCCAGTCGTGGCGTTCCTTTGAGCGACCTGGTTGGAAGTCAACTCTGGTGGCATGGTCCTGAGTGGTTACAAAGACCGGGAGACCAGTGGCCAGCAGTGTTCGTCCAAAATCCATCCACTGAGTTAGAGCAGCACGTGGTTAAGACCAATTTCGCTAAAGCAGCCTCCGAGAATTTCCTTACGCGTTTTTCTAAGCTCGACAAAGCCCTACGAGTTCTGGTGTATGTGCTCCGTTTTCCGACTTGTTGCCGTAAAGGTCCCAAAGGACCAGCGGGCCCTCCTACAAACATTGAAATTCGGCATTCTGGAGAAGTGCTTGTTGCGCTAGCTCAGCGCGAGGAATATGTCCAAGACCTTAATTCTTCAAACAGCAAACGCCCGTTGTCTGGTTCAAGTCCAATAAAGAACCTTTTTCCGTTTATGGACCAACAAGGCCTATTAAGAGCTAGTGGCCGCCTCTCAGCCTCAAAGGCCGTGAAGTATGATGAGCGTCGCCCTATCATCCTGCCTTATAGTTGTCGGCTGTCTCGTCTCTTAGTCGAGTTTATCCACCAGATTTCGCTCCATGGCGGCAATCAGTTGATGATACGCATAATCCGAGCGAAGTATTGGGTTCCAAAGCTCAAGAATCTAGTAAAGGCGGTAGGGAGCTCTTGCAAGGTGTGCATCATCTTCAAGAAAAGGCTGCAGTCGCAACTGATGGGCGATCTTCCGACAGACCGTGTCTCCTTCTCGAGGCCTTTTACCTACACCGGCATTGATTACGCAGGCCCGTTTGAGATCAAAAATTACACAGGAAGAGCGCGCCCCATTACAAAAGGGTACGTCTGCGTTTTTGTGTGCTTCTCAACTAAGGCCATCCACTTGGAACCGACCTCTGACTTAACAACAGAGAAGTTCCTTGCGGCATTCGCCCGGTTTGTGGCCAGACGAGGTTGTCCCCAGCGGGTCTATTCAGACAACGGCAAAACCTTCGTTGGAGCAGCAACATTGCTATCCCGTGATTTCCTGCAAGCGGTCAAGGAGTCAGCGATGGGTACATACGGCCATCAAGGGCTTCTGTGGCGTTTCATTCCACCATGCGCACTGCATATGGGAGGCTTGTGGGAGACGGGTGGGAAAAGTTTCAAAACGCTTTTCTACAAAGCCACGTCCAGTCGAAAATACACATTCGAAAAGCTTTCGACGATACTTTCCAAGGTTGAAGCATGCTTTAACTCCCGGCCTCTCTCTCCAATGTCCGAGGATCCCTCCGACTTGCTGGCATTAACGCCAGGCCATTTCCTGATTGGGGGTCCGTTGCTCTCCACAGCTGAGCCCGAAATCAAAGGGGAAGATAAGTCGATAATAAATCGATGGCAACACCTCAAGGCCCAGCATCAGCAGTTTAATGTGCGATGGAAAGAGGAGTACCTGAAAGAACTCCATAAGCGCAACAAATGGCAAGTTCCAGATCGGAACATCCAAGTTGGCGATATGGTGGTTGTCAAAGAGGACAACATACCATCCAACGATTGGCGACTCGGCAGAGTCGTGTCGGTCTATCCGGGAGCCGACAGACGGGTTGGCGTCATCGACGTCCTCACTTCGCGGGGCACAATAAAGCGCCCAGTTCATAAAGTTGTGCTTCTTCCGACAGAGGCTCAAATTGTTCCGCAGCCCGGTCAATAGCTCACACGTAGTCGATAATCATTCCGCGCGCTTACCATATATACTTTAAGCTGATAACGCTTCCTTCCTGCTTAATTCTCCATTATCCCATTCTTTTTTTTCATGTGCCTAGAGACGTATCAGTAATGGCTTCTCGTCCGACTCCCCGCACTTCCCAAGCCCTCGAAAACAGACGTTCCCGAGGTATTCAATCCTACCGCTGCCGAGTATGTAAGGGGATTCATCCGCTTCGGAAGTGCAACCGCTTATTAAGGTTGTCCTCCGAGAAATGGCTTCGGGCAGTGCTGATCAAGAAGTACTGTGGCGTTTCATTCCGCCATGCGCACTGCATATGGGAGGCTTGTGGGAGACGGGTGGGAAAAGTTTCAAAACGCTTTTCTACAAAGCCACGTCCAGTCGAAAATACACATTCGAAGAGCTTTCGACGATACTTTCCAAGGTTGAAGCATGCTTTAACTCCCGGCCTCTCTCTCCAATGTCCGAGGATCCCTCCGACTTGCTGGCATTAACGCCAGGCCATTTCCTGATTGGGGGTCCGTTGCTCTCCACAGCTGAGCCCGAAATCAAAGGGGAAGATAAGTCCACTGTACGATTTTCGTCAAGGAAAAAATAGTTCGCAGCTGGATCAGTATTTATGGGTTAACTTTGATAAGGGTCGTTTTGTTGATATCGGCCTACCTAAACAAGCACAGGACGATATCGGCCTGTGTCCATATGTTCGGACCTATCGTAAAAGAAAACTCACAGATAATCACGTCTTCACACCATCTGCAGTCCTATCTGTAGTAATATTGTCTTTAAGATATCTGTGTCCAACTGGTATTGTTTTGATAGGCTAACCAATGTAACAAATAATTGTAATCTTGACTAGACCTAAGTAAATATCTTTAACCAAAAAACATGTAAATAAAGCCTAGGTTTGACTCAATAACATTAGTACGAAAAGAACTCTTGACGTATTCACTTCTCCGCAGCCCAATTTGTACTGTACTTATTGCGGCGACTATTGCCACTGGTATTGAACTTGCGGCACGCAACAAAAACAAAACTCTACTTTTCAGCATTTAGAATTCATTTGAATTCGCACATTTGGTGACCCCCGACTTCGAACCGCAACCATTGTTCAGATTGGGACTCCAATTTGAACCCGCATCATCGATCATAGTTTGATCATCCAGAAATCAATCACGGTAGTGATTAACAGGTCAACTAGGCGACCAAGCAACTTTTCATCTACTGCTATCAACTTGGCGATAGACAGTTTTTAAAACAGCAGACGACTAGAATATTCTGCGATTTGTGTACGATCAACTTGGCGATCAAAAACACACACAAAAATATACAGAATCTTGATTACTGACCATTTTACATTTATTTTATAAACCACGGTGTGAGTCGAGGCACATCATCAACAATATACCTCTAAAAGGTTTATAATTAAAAGTAAAACATGGCATCTTCAAGCATTCGCTCCTTATTGGATGAACAGCATGCTCTGGGTGAGCGCATCCAAAATATTATAAGGAATTTCAAAAAAGATTCCGAAAGCAGAAAATCTAAGCCTGCGTATTACACAGAACGCTTGGCTAATCTGGAGGGTCTATGGGTAAATTTTGCCTCCAGAGATGATACAATCCAGCGTACCCTGAAAGGAGAAAAAATCGATCATGGGTACTTCAGAAATAATTACTTTCTTGAAATTAGAAACCTGGTGAGTGAATATCAGAATATATTCACAACAAACTTATCAACCCTGCAAGCTGAAACTGCCTCCCTAACGTCTACGGAAGAAGATTTGGAAATTGAATCCATGTTCCGTGAGCAAAGGGTGCTCATTGATACATTAGAGCGCATCATGAGTAGGGTGACGATTGAAACACGCCAAAATTTTAAGGCGATCATATTCGAAAATTGGACTGAAATTAAAAGGATTCATGTCCAAATTCACAAAAAATTTAAAAACCCCAAAGAGTTGGGATACGATGATTCCCGATATTTAATGGCTGAAGATGCCATTATAACATTTCAAATGGCACTCGGCGTAGACGGACCACAGAATACTGGAGAAAGTTCTCCTAAAATCGCAGCAGTACCTTTGCCAAAGATAACAATTCCAAAATTTGATGGAAATTATTTGCAATGGCAGCAATTTCATGATTTGTTTAAAAAAATGATTCATGAATCTTCATTACCCATTATACAAAAAATGTGGTACTTGAAGACTAATCTAACGGGAGAGGCTGAACGTTTAATTCGTCACTTGTCCCTAACTGAAACGAATTATTTGACAGCATGGAATATGTTGCAAGAGCGTTTCAGCAACAAAAGAGTATTGTGCAATACTTTACTCCAAAAATTATTAGATCATGCACCAATATCTAGTGATGTCAAAAGCATTAAATCGTTGCATGATAATATAAAGGAAACATTATCAGCATTAAACAATATTGAAATAAGAACGGACAATTGGGATCCGATTCTCCTGCACGTTCTAACAAAAAAACTAGATCGACAAACACATTTGCTCTACGAACAATCGATTCTCAACACACGAGAAATGCAGTCAATTAAAGAATTTTTGGAATTTTTGGAGCAAAAGTTTCTCACATTAGAAGCTATTTCTTCAGAGAAACCCAAAAAACCAACAACATGTGCAGCAGGGGCAGATACACTATTCAATTGCCTCTTCTGCAAGAAACCGAACCATAGCATTTTTAAATGCAATGAGTTCTTAAAAAAGACTCCAGCTGAACGTTTAAACTGGACTCAAAAGAATAAATTATGCGTAAAATGTTTCAATTCAAATCACGCTGCAAAGGCATGCACTAGGAAAGATTGTTTTAATTGCAACAAAAAACACAATACACTTCTGCACTTGGAAAAAGTTTCAGAAAATTCGGATGTCATTACTGCGGCATCAGCAAGTGGAAAGCATGATGGTTACGTCCTTCTAGCCACAGCTAGAGTACTAGTTCAAGGAAACAATGGACAAATGGCGGAATTCAGAGCTCTACTTGACTCTGGCTCCCAAATAAATGTTATTTCTGAAAGAGTTATTCAGAAATTAGCATTAAAAACCACCAGCTCGAAACATAAAATAAATGGCATAGGTGGAAAAGCTCACACCTCCAATGCTCGAGTAAACGTTGAACTAAAATCTAGAAACGGAAATTTTGCATCCAGACTTGAGGCGATTGTAATGTCTCATATAGTCGCTGATCAGCCGACATACCCAATATCCACGGAAAATTGGAAAATTCCTAATGGTATACAACTGGCTGACCCTCAATTTGGAAAACCAGGAAAAATAGACATTCTCCTTGGTGCTGAGCATTATTTTGATATAATGCAATCGGAAAATGTATTTATTAAAAAGGGACTACCAAGGTTGCAAAATACCAAACTTGGTTGGATTGTAGCTGGTAAAATTTCGGAACAAAAAGCAACTTCATCAGTATGTGCAGTCCTGACTGAAGCGGAAAAGGTGGATGAGCAGCTTGTCAAGTTCTGGGAACTTGATAATTTTCAACCGGATAAAAAATGTTATTCGCCAATCGAAAAACAATGCGAATCTCATTTTCTGGAAAACATCCAGCGCGCACAGGACTCAAGGTACATTGTGCAATTACCATTTTTGGAGCATACTTCAGCGCTGGGGGAGAGTCGTGACATTGCCACGCGACGATTTTTATCGTTAGAGAAACGATTGCAGAAAGATCCAGCAATAAAACAAGGATACATTGAGTTCATGAAGGAATATGAATTGCTTGGACATATGAAGGAAGTTCCTCTTGCAAATCTGCCAAGATCGCACTATTTCATACCTCATCATTGTGTCCTAAAGCCAGATAGCCATACAACAAAACTACGGGTTGTATTTGATGCATCAGCGGTAACATCTTCTGGAAAGTCATTAAACGATTTATTGCAGAAAGGTCCAACAGTGCAAAATACTCTCATGTCTATATTGTTAAGATTTAGACTACATAAATATGTCTTTACGGCTGACATTGAGAAAATGTATAGGCAGATTTGGATAAATCCCAAAGATCAGCAATATCAGATGATCGTATGGAGAAACGACCCTTCCGAAAAGTTGAGATACTATCGACTGAAAACAGTGACATATGGCACCAAATCTGCACCTTATTTAGCAACGAAATGCCTAGAATATTTGGCATCAAAACAAGCACAGCAGTATCCTGTAGGAGCGGCTGCGCTTAAAAATGACTCCTATGTGGATGACTGCATTACCGGAGCAGACACAATCCAGGAAGCATTACAAATCCGGACTGAACTTAATAAAATATTAATCAGTTCGGGATTCAAACTAAGAAAATGGTGCGCAAACAGCAACCAACTTTTACAGGGATTAAACAAAGATGATATAATCCCTAATGTACAATTGGAAGATACGGCATACGAAGATTGCAGTATCAAAACTCTTGGAATTATCTGGAATCCCAAGATAGATAAGCTTTGCGGAAAGACACAAATTGCTACAACACAAAAAATTACAAGGCGAGATGTTGTCTCAGAAATATTTAAAATATTTGATCCACTTGGGTTATTCTCGCCAGTCGTAATTAAGGCAAAAATATTTATGCAAAGCTTAACAAAGGAGAAATTCGACTACAATGAGGATTTGCCTGATAAGTTACAAAAACAATGGATACAATTCCGTAACAGCTTAGAGGCGTTGAACAACATAAAAATTTCACGTCATATTTTTGAAGGTCAAGTACCGACCTCAAAGGAGATCCACACTTTTGTTGATGCGTCTGAAAATGCGTATGCAGCAGCTGTTTATCTTCGAGCAGTTCATAAAGACAAAAGAGTGACTGTACAATTACTGTGTGCAAAATCGCATTTGGCTCCAATAAGTCAAATCACTCTTCCTCGACTGGAATTAAAGGCGGTAGTACTTGGTGCACAGTTAACATTCACGGTAAAGGAGCAATTATCCATGCAAGCCGTCCCAACTTACTACTGGGCAGACT